TTCTCACATTTGGACCACTCTCTCTAAATTGAGCTCTCTCAAAACATAGATATCATTTCTTCATTGAACTCCTAAGAAGTCACCAACCAATTTCAGCTAAAATGTCGGTTCAGCTGAAATGAGAGTACAGCTTTGGGGGTCATAAGAACGATAAATTATTTTGTGCTGAGACCGGACACAAAACGCCGTTCGGAGACCAACCTGAACACGCCATGTTAGCGGTGCTGAGCTGTGGTACCGAGCAAGAGGTGACATGACGCATTCTGGTTGACCTCCGTATGGTTGTCGGCGTCCGCATAGAATAATTAATCCATAAGAACATGTCTCCCCTTAGATATAGTAATTATCACTCTATCTTGTGGATGATTTTTTTTTTTTTTTTTAGTTTTGAGTTTTTTTTTTTTTTTTTTACCTTTAGATCAATTAAGATAAACTCACACACACATCATCTATTAGTTGGTTGTTAAAACTCTCAACTAAGATATCAAGATGACAACTTTGACAACAAAATGCATGAACCTTTAAAGATTGAGCCTCATGACAAAGACGCCTCATAGCTTATCGCACTCGACACTATACCTAGTTACCTACCTTATGATGCATTTGACAATTGAATTGACTATGTCAATTACTTTAAGCGAGGGGTAATCATGCATTTTTTAACAATTTTTTCTATATCATCAAACAACTTAAATAATGATATTTTTTGAGTTATGTCCATTTTGATTAAGGCTTCATTTGAGATAGTTTTCATAATATTTTTTAAAGCGGCTTTTTAGTACATAAATTTCATATTCAAGAAATTTTTGTACTGAAAAGCTGTTTTAGAAAGCAAGAAGAAAGCCATCCCAAATGAAGCCTAAAACTTTGTTTGGGGTGACTTACTTATTGTTTCTTAAAGCAGTAGGCTTTGTTTGGGATGACTTTCTTATTGCTTCTTAAAACATTTTTCTTGTATAAAAATTATTATTTTTTTTGCTCTAGAAAGTTATTTTAAGAAACATTAAGAAAAGTGTCTCAAACGAAACATAAATCTTATAATTCCATTTATTTATCATAACGTCATTTTGCCCCAAAATCATCGTCGTTTCTTTCGCGTCTTTCTCAAACGGAGTTCGGTAGAGAGAAAGAAATGGCGAAAGTGAACAGTGTGACGCCAATATTGATGTTGCACTATTCATAAGCAACTGATTGCCGGCAAAAATGGAGTTCGGTTGGCACATCTGAGGCTCTCCATTCGCCTATTTGCTGAACGGCTGAAGAAGCCCTAACTTCTATAAGAAAAAAAAACTGTAGTCCAAAGGAGATTTTTTACTGCTAAGATGATTTATCTATGCACGTGAT